AAAAAGTGTTCACTGTCTAAGGTCACTCTAGTTACCTACTATCTTAAAAGAAGTAGATATAGGATAACAATATTCAATTAATAAAATTTGAATAAATAAATAAAAACTAAAAATTAGTTTTGTAACTTTTCTTAATAACCAGATGTTATTGAAGCTTTAAACTTAACTACTCAGAAGCAGAAAAGTGTGCTAAATAACTTTATTTAAGAATACAAATAGGGCTTATTTAATAAAATATTTAGAAATAATTAAAAGTTTTTAGCAAAAATTTGGTATAAGTGATTTACAGAAAGAGTTACTATTTTTTTTTAAAACTTAATAAATCTAACTATACTGATCAATATTAATATATAAAGAATTATGTACATTAAATTGATAGCCAAGAAAACAAGAAACTGCAAGACTTAACTAATTTAAAAGAAGAAAAAAATTATTACAAAAAATATTATAGTCAAATAGAATTAGAAATATAATATAACAAGGTGACTATAGTTTTATCTTAGTTAGTAATAGTAGTTAAAATATTGTAACACTAATTTTAATTTAAAAAATGTAGATATAATATCATGTTAAGTGTCTATATAGTAATATAGCAACACAAATATAATGTAATAAATTTCATATATTAATCTGACATTAATTGAATAAAATATTTACCTTTAACCTTATAAAAAATTTTTCATTTTTATTAATAACTTAATGAGTTTTTATTTGATTAAAATAAATATATATCAAAATATTCATCTTAATAAGTTAAGTAAATAATTAATAATAAACAAAATATATTTAATTAGTAAACATTTGAATAAATAAACAATAATTTTTGTAACTTGTCCTAATAATCAAATATTAAACTTGATTGCTTAGAAGCAGATAAATATATTAAGTAACTTTAATTAAGAGTATAAGTAAGGTTAACTTAGTAAATTAATTAGAAATAGTTAAATATTTTAACAAAAATTGAATATAAATAATTTATAAAAAGAATTATTGTTTTTCCTTTTTTTCTTTTTATTTTTGATAAAAAGCAGAATGAGCAAAATATACAAAATATACAAAACATGCAAAATGACAAATAGGAAGTTTTAAAAAATATTTTATTAAACTGAATTTTTTAGAAATATTGAAGCTAAAAAAGAATAATAAATATATAATCTTTTTTTTTATGTTTTTAATGATGATCCATTCTTGTATAATAATGGGTTTCCTAATTATTGATAGTTTAATAATTATCTAAATCGAAATCAAAAATTTGTACCAAGAGTTGAACATCTCAAGTTTCGTAAGTAGGGTTTAGGGCATGGGAAAAAAATTGGGATTCCTTTTTTAAATCATGTGATTAACACATAGTTTACAACTTCTTAAAAATCTTACATGTTGATTTAGTATCTACGGTTCTAGTTTACCTGAACTTATTAGCCAATTAAAATAACTTTAAACATCACATGACAAGGGCATGCCCTTTGGACTTGAGACATGCCCATAGGAATGCCCTAGGGGCATGCCCTTAGGGGCATGCCCTATGCCCCTGTGCCCTAAACTCTATTCGTAAGATAAGGATTGTAAACTTTCATTTCATCTTCAACCAATTTAATGTACAGACATTAGATATTTTTCGTTAGTTTAATCGATATCAGTAAACAAACATTATGCGTGTTAGTGAAATTAAGCAAAAAATTAGTCACAAAATCCAATCATTTGGCTCCCAAATTTAAAGTTTAATTACCAAATCATATATTAATCAATCAATGTTAAAGTTTTTTGGATCACTAATCTGTACCGACAACAGGCTAACCCATCTTCCCACATATCATAACTTGGGGGAATGTTGACTATCTCAGTAAAATCAATGTCATGTGTATCATAAACCCACGAAATAACGCGCAAGGGTGAAATTTTGAATTTTAGCCTAAATTAAGCTTAATTCAGGCCATTATTCGAAGTTACACCCTTGTGCGTTATTTGAAGTTATACCCCTGTGCGTTATTTCATAATTTACGATAACCATATTAAATTTATAAATACAAAACCCTATGCATATCCTAAACTGGCACATTTATAATTTTAATCTGATTAAATTCAAATATTTTTACATAATATACGTGCTCATGACAATGCACTTCGTTTCACTACATTTAAAATGATTGCTCCAAAACCAAATATACACCAAATAAAATAACACGTAAACTAATATTGCCTGATCAAAACTCACTCGCACCAGAGAAATCTTTATTTTAATGTTACGACATTTTGTGTTACAAGTTACGACATTATGTCTGCGCCTCTAGTTCGGTGTCCGTACTACGTATTATTTATTTAAATAATGGATAGTTTATATGAATATATTTACAATGGTTTTATCACCTATTCAAAGAGCAAAGTTTGCTACCACATCTCGTCTCGCAGCTTGCGCTATTAATGAACATGTTATTAAAGCTTTTTACCAATTAAATTATGACCATTCTAAATTAATCGATTCTTCGATAAATCATGGTGCTGTTTTCATTTCACCAAATAATGACAATATTTCGTCTACCGACTACAGAATTATTATTGTTATTCCCATGTTGAATGATCCGATTCTCTCAAACTATAATGAGAATAATAATTCAAAATTGATAGAAGTTAATTTCATAGATCCCTGGGATATGGCAGCGCCAATTTATAAGATTAATTACGGCTTTTGTCAATTGGCAAATGTCAGAGATTTAGAATCATTAGTAAACTCTTCTGCAAACCAAGGTGAAGAAATTGGAGCAACTGAATTTATGAGCGTATTAGGTACATGGTTGAATTTAGACAACGATATTGTAAGTTCAATATGCGAAGAGTTAGATAATTCTGGTAAAAACCAAGGTCAGTAACAAATATCAATTAAGCAAACCCTTGACAATTAAATATGAATCATAACAATGTTGTCATTTTATAGAATATACGTTCAAAAACCCACAGCCAATTCCTTCCATAAATTCTTCGAGCATAGAATGGGAACAAAGTCTGATAGAAGGCCATTCTTTTCACCCAGTAATTTGCGTTGCGTTGTCATATATGTACTATAAATATCGTATTTAAAATTTGCAATAATTCCTAAATTTGAATTTTCTTAATGAAAAAGATGCATAAATTACGATATTTTCCTCCACCTATGCCAAACATATCGCCTGGTGCTTATGACTTTCGAAAACCAACTATACGGTTTGTCGAAGTACCACGTGATAAAGCGTATTTGCGCGGTCCTTGGGAAGAAAAATTAAATCGTCTTATAAATATAATGTCGAAAAGGCCAATTTGTTCACCAAACAATTTACTCTTTCCAGTTCACGAATTACAATTATCAAATATATCAGCTAAGTTTCCTTATGTTAAAATTCTTCCTCCTGAGTACTCAATAAAGGCTAATAGTCAAGCATCCCTTCGAACTCTTGTGATACAAGGCATTCCCGATCTTGTGTATAAAGTTTCTTTCGGTATAAAAGTAACTTCAGTTTTGCGTACCATTACACCATGGTCCACGCACGACGGTACAGAATTTACACATAAGATTTTCGAAAAACTACGTGTTGACAAGAAGATATTAAAAATTGCACCTGAAATTGCTAGTGCAATCGTCAATGAACAGGATTTTGCTATAGCAGGACATTTAAGCTGTATTATACGTGAAGATTATAATGATCAAACTTCTGAAGGCGAGAAAGTTATAATTTGTGCTGCATTGACTGAAAAGGATGAAAATGGAATAAGTTTTGTCGAAAGAGTTTGGCGACTAGACACAGAAGAGAAACGTATTAAATTTTTTGAAAGGTAAATTACCGAATTAGGTTGTTAACAAATATTTTAAATTTAAATTTACATAATTGAATAAACGATATTATAGATATTCTCGGCTTTTATTAGCTGCATTTTTGCCGCCAGCGTTATATAATGGAGTTTCTTTTGAATCGGTATGTATATATTTTTATCTATAAAATATTATTAATAGATCGTGAAATAATTAATATATATATATATATTGTTTTATAAGCATCAACAAAATGTTCTTGCCAGGTTTGATCCTTGTAGCGAACAACTAGTTGGTTTTGTAGTCAGGGATTTTGGTGCTATTAGGTTTCATCAAGATACATTGTTTTCAAGTACGGGGTTACGTGCTAATTTGTTAAAAGATAGCCCCATAGAAGCCAATGATTTACTTGAGGTATGTTATGAAAGATTGCATTGATCATTAAATTACTTTACTAATTGATTATTTTAACTCAGGTTTACACATGGCTTTATAACAAATTAATTTTAGCTCATATATTTCGTTTAATGCACGTATTAAACCTTCATCATTCTGGTGTTGGATGGAAAATTGTTCGAAAGCATTTATCAGAACTCATTCCACGCGATCATTTACTGTGGAATTTATGGTTTGAAAATAAAGAGCTCAGATTAAAAAGTTTTTTACGCGTGAGATTTGACGGATTACACCGAAATGCAAGTTATTTTTTTATTATTTTTGAATTGGAATTGCTTCATGGATACTACATTATCTCATAAAGTTGATTTTCGAAATTTTTTTCTAGTATTCATATGTGCAGAGCCCTAACTTAATATTGTATAAATGCGAAAACGGATCTTAGTTGTTCATCAGAAATGTGTGATTTACACGCATATTCTTTATATGTTATTTATGAAAAATTTTTCATATTATTAAATAAGTTGTTATTTGTTAAGTCTTGAATTTTTTCTACAAATCAATTTAAAATGAACAAGCTTAGTGTCAGGAATAGAGATAAATTATCAATTGAATCTATAGTTGTTGGTAGAATTACTGAATTACGGCATTACGGAATTTTACCAGGTGGTAGAATTAATTATCTAATTGCCGTAAAACTTTTGTGCCGTAATGTCGCAATGCTGTAATGCCGTAATGCCGCAATGTCGTAATGCTGTAATGCCGTAATATCCTAATTAGATATTGAATTTGTATAAATTTAAATGCGTTGGATTATAATTCACGTCATTTCTAATTAAC